GCTGGAAACAGCACTATGGCTATCGTGTGGCCGGGCTTGAGGATCTTAAAGCTCAGGGAGAGGAGGATGTTTCCCCCCTGAAGATGAACCGGAAGAGGAAAAGGGTCCCGGCAGAGACCGTGGGAGTCGCTGCCCCTCACGAGGGGGAGGGGGTTGATGCAGGGGCCACCGGTGCCGAGGCGGCGGGCTCAGTTGGTACCTCTCTAACGGAGGGGGGAGCTCGGGTGGCGGAACCAGATGTCGAGCCCCTCCGCCCTTCTACTGGAGTGCTTGTGCAGGCTGCCGGACGAGGGGTAAGGATTATCTGTCACCTTGTTAGCTTTTCCTTTACATGGTTTTGCTTAATATTTCGGATTTGGTATCGTTCCTCGCAGGTGGAGGCTGTCGTTGGGTCGACTTCCCGGGCCGTAGGCCGGGCCGGTGTGGTTCCTGAAGCGGAGATTCCAACCATTGGGCGGCTCACTCCTGTTGTTGAGGTGGGCAGCGTGTGGCTGTGATTTACTACTTTGCTGTTCCTCTTGTTTAGTTGGTGAAATTTTTATATTTTTTGTAGGCGAGAAGGACCGCAGGGGTTTCTGATGGTCGAAGGTCACCGGTGGTGGGGGTTAGCGTCCCGGTGACCAGGCCAGCGGTTGGGCCGGCGGCCTCCTCCTCCTCCCCCGGTCGTCGTGGTGAGGGCTCTGGTTCTGGGGATCCGGCTCCTGTGTCTGCGACGAGGGGGCCGCCCAAGCGTCCCTACCTTGCGTATCGTTATGCGCAGGAGGGTGCGCCAACACGGTTGGAGCACCTGAGTGCGTCGGAGGGTATCGACTCTTGGTGGAGTGTCTCGTTGACGCCTGAGAAGTTTTTTTCGCAGGGCTCCTTGAGTGCGGCCGATCAGGTGATGTTTGAATCTGCCAGGCCCGTGGCAAGTTTCGACGCTGCCCAGATCTTTTTGCAGAGGGGCACGACCATTGTGGATTATTGGAAGTGCAAATGGTCCCGGCAGCAGGAGGAGTTATCAAGGTTGAAGGGCCAGGTGCAGCCCTTGATGGAGGAGAATAAGGTTCTGGCTGCCACTCTGTCTGAGGCGAAGCTGCAGGGGATCAAGCTTCAGGCGGTGCAGAGGGATGTTGCCGAAGCCCGGGGGTCGTTAGAGGCGGCTGTCCGTTCTAACGAGGCTTATGCTAGCCAGGTTCACTCTCTGGAGGAGGAGGTATCCTTTTGGAAGGGTGAACTGGCGTCCGTATCTGAGGAACGTCTTTGCGACGAGGTGGTCCTCCGTACGAAGGAGGCAGAGGTGGTCCATCAGAGGGAGAGTCTTTCGGCTCTAGAGGCCGAGAATGCAGCGTTGAGGAAGAGGCTCGAGGAAGTCGAGCGCTCAATCGTGGTGGAACATAAGAGAGGCTTCCTCAAGGCGGCCCGGCAGGCCCAGCTCCTTGCGCCGGGGTTCGACTTTTCCGGGATGCATTTGGAGAAGGTTGTCCGCTTCGGGCGGTTAGTCCGGGAGCATGACATTGAGGAGAGTTCTAGTGACAATGCCTCTGTATAGGATACTTTTTGTATTTCCTATTTCTGACTGTCTTATGAATTATACTTCTCAGTTATGCAAGTTTTGTTTTAGGTGTTGTTATTTCCACCCTGATTTTTGCTATAACAAAGTTCCGATCGGCTTTTTGCCCTGTGTTTTTGGTGGCGAGGTTTATGTGCAACCGTTAATACTGAGGTTTCTTTTTGTCTTGTGACGGGGTAAGATGGGGTTCGTTTTCGACCTTTGTTTGAGTAAAGTGGGGTTCATTTTTGGCCTCCATTTGGGTGACGTGAGGTTCGTTTTTGACCTCTATTTGAGTGAAGTGAGGTTCGTTCTCGACCTGAGGTTCTTTCTCGACCTCTATTTGAATGAAGTGAGGTTCGTTCTCGACCTCTATTTGAACGAAGTGAGGTTCGTTCTCGACCTCTATTTGAACGAAGTGAGGTTCGTTCTTGACCTTTATTTGAATGAAGTGAGGTCCGTTCTCGACCTCTATTTGAATGAAGTGAGGTTCGTTCTCGACCTCTATTTGAACAAAGTGAGGTTCGTTCTCGACCTCTATTTGAGTAACCGGGTAATAGCATCGTAAGGGATTTCAAGTATATAAAAGAAACGAATCATTTTATTTGATGAAAGTCGTGTGCCTCGTTAAAAACCCTTCTCAGTTAGTGTGTCTGAGGTAGGAAAAGAGTGCACCGTCTATTTGTACAAAGTTTTACTGAAGTAAAATTTGAGGTAGGTAGCGTTCCAGGTCGTGGAATGGGCTTCCCACTGAGCTCCTCTAGACGGTAGGCTCCGTTTTCCAGGTTTTCTACGACTCGGAATGGGCCGCCCCAAGTGGGTGCGAGCTTCCCGTATGACGTGTCCTTCCGTGCTTCTCCGAGTAGCTGCCATACCAGGTCGCCTTCCCGAAAAGACCGGGGTTTCACCCGGGAGTTGTATCGCCAGGCGGCCCGGAGTTTGCATGCTTCTGCGTGGATTTGGGCTTCGTCTCGGAGTTTGTCTAGCAGGTCGAGGTCCGTTGCTAGCTCGTGGTTATTTTGTTCATTGTGGAAGACGTGGCGTCGGTGGGATGTTTGTCCGACGTCTACCGGGATCATTGCGTCAGCTCCATAAGTTAGTCTGTAGGGTGGGTCTTGCGGGGTTGACTGTGGGGGGCAGTGGTATGCCCAGAGGATGCTGGGAAGCATGTCGGGCCACTCCCCTTTTGCGTTCCCTAGCCGTTTCTTGAGTTCCCAGAGGATGACCTTATTGGCTGCTTCGGCCTGGGCGTTGGTTTGGGGGTGCTCCACCGAGGTCGGCAAGTGCTTGATTCCGAGTTCTTGGAGGAAGACTTCAAATTCTTCTGCGATGAACTGCCGCCCGTTGTCAGTGATAATGGTGTGGGGAATTCTGAATCTGCAAACAATGTTTCTCCATGTGAACTTTCGCACGTTTTCCGTGGTGATCTTGGCAAGTGGGCACGCCTCGATCCACTTGGTGAAGTAGTCGATTGCCACCAGGAGGAACTTTAACTGACCCTTCGCGGGGGGGAAAGGCCCAAGGATGTCCATTCCCCACTGGGAGAAAGGCCATGCTGCCAACATGTGGTGAAGAGCCTCGAGGGGCTGTCGATGCGCGTTGCCAAACTGCTGGCACTCTTTGCATTTCTGGATGTAGTCCTGGCAATTTGACTTTAAGGTGGGCCAGTAGTATCCAGCTCGGAGTACCCTGGCTGCCATCGAGCGAGCTCCGGAGGGCATTCCGCATACCCCGTGATGAATTTCCTTGACAACATAGGCTGCTTGAGACATGGTCAAAGATTTGAGCAGTGGGGTGGAAATCCCGCGTTTGAATAGCTCCCCGTCGATGATGGTGAACTTTGCTGATCGCATTCTCACCTTCCTTGCCTCATCCTTATCTGTAGGCAGGGCGCCATCTTTTAGGTAGTTCCATATGTTTGTCATCCATCCTAGCTCCTCGCTGTCGTTGACATTGACAGTTTTATCATCCAAGTTGGGTGAGTGCAAGGTTTCCTGGATAATGGTTCGGTGTTGCCCGGGCTTTTTGGTACTGGCGAGTTTTGACAGTAGGTCTGCTCTGGTGTTCTGCTCTCGCGGTACATGTTTTATGGAGAAATCATCGAAAGACGAGATCTGTTGGGCTGCGGTATGAAAGTATCTCTGTAGGAGGACGTCCTTTGCTTGGTAGGTTCCACTGAGCTGTTCTACCATGAGTTTGGAATCGCTGTTGCAGCTTACTCTTCGAGCCCCGAGGTCCCGGGCTAATCGTAGTCCGGCGAGGAGAGCTTCGTACTCTGCCTGGTTATTAGTTGCTTTAAACCCGAACTGGAGGGATTGTTCCACAGTGATTTGGTTTGGTCCTTCCAGGATGACGCCTGCACCTCCTCCTTTAGAGTTGGAGGATCCGTCTACATGGAGGGTCCATGCTCGGGGTTCTTCTGTGGTGGTCGGCGTGAGCTCAGCTACGAAGTCGGCTAAACATTGGGCTTTTAGAGGTCCGCGGCTTTCGTACCGGATTTCAAACTCTGACAGTTCTATTGACCAGGCAATCATGCGTCCGGCAAGCTCAGGCTTTCGCAGGATTTGTTTGATGGGGTAGTCGGTTTTAACTACCACCTGGTGGCTTTGGAAGTACATTCGGAGTCGCCGGGCTGTAGTGACCAGTGCCAATGCCAGCTTTTCAACCATTTGGTACCTTCTTTCTGCGTCTTGGAGGACCCGACTGATGAAGTAGATTGGGGTTTGCGCCTTCTGATGCTCTTGTACAATGACGGCGCTGATGGCGCCTTCTGCTACTGCCAGGTAAAGAAGGAGGTCGGTGTTGTGATCCGGCCTTTGCAAGATTGGTGGGGTTGTGAGGAAATTTTTGAAGCTTTGGAAAACTGCTTCACACTGGTCAGTCCACGAGAAGTCTTTTGGTTTCTTTAACAGGGTGAAAATTGGTCCCGCCTTCTCCGCAAGTTTGGGGATAAACCGGGACAGTGAGACCAGTCGCCCAGCCAGGCGTTGCACCTTCTTCACCGTTTGTGGGCTTTGCATGTGTATGATGGCCTCGCACTTCTCGGGATTGGCTTCGATTCCTCTGCTGGTGATCATGAAGCCAAGAAACCTTCCTCCCCGGACATCAAAGACGCATTTTTCCGGGTTGAGACGCATGTTGTGTTTTCTGATCTAGGCGAACATCTCGGCAAGATCAGAGGCGTGGTCCGGTGCCGAGATGGTTTTTACCACCATGTCGTCCACATAGACCTCCATGTTCCGCCCGATTTGGTGGTGGAAAACTTTGTCCATCAGTCGCTGGTAGGTTGCCCCTACGTTCTTGAGGCCGAAGGGCATCACCCGGTAATAGTAGTTGGCGCGATCAGTGATGAAGGACGTGTGCTCTTCATCCGGTGGATACATCATTATCTGGTTGTACCCGGAATAGGCGTCGAGGAAGCTGAGGAGGGCATGCCCGGATGCTCTGTTGACTAGCCTATCGATGCTCGGCAAGGGGTACGAGTCCTTAGGACATGCTCTGTTGAGGTCGGTGTAATCGACGCACATGCGCCACTTTCCCGAGCTCTTCTTTACTAGGACTAAGTTTGCCAGCCAGGTAGTGTACCTGACTTCCCTGATGAAACCGGCGTCGAGCAGTTTTTGCGTCTCTATGATGACGGCATCCCATCTTTCGCCGCCGACCTTCCTTTTTCTCTGTGCGACCGGCTTGGCCTCTTTGTGTATCGCTAACCTGTGGCAGATGAAGTTGGCATCTATGCCGGGCATGTCAGCGCTGGACCAAGCGAAGAGATCGGCGTTCCTGAGGATTTCTTCCTGGAGTTGTTGTCGTAGTTTGGGGTCTAATTGTTTGCTGATCTTTGTTGTTTGGCTGGGGAGCTTTCCGATTTGGAGATCGTCGAGCTCATCGACGGGACTGGGCCGCTCATCGTGAGCGTCGGATCTCGGATCGAGGTCGGCGGTTTCCTCGTGTTCAGCACGGGTTAGAACAGTGAAGTCGCTTTTGAGTTGTCGGATTGGGGGGGCAGTTTCTAAGTTGCCTATGTAGCATTGTCGCGCTTCCTGCTGGTTCGCTCTGATGGAGATGACTTTTCCGTCGTGTCCCAGAAATTTCATGGTGAGATGCGGGGTGGACACTACCGCCCCGAGTTGGTTTAGGGTTGACCTGCCGATGATGGCGTTATAGGTGGAGTTGGCCTCCACCAGTAGGTACCGAACCAGGATCTGCCGGGAGGCCGGCAGTGTCCCGAAGGTCGTTAACAGGTCCACTCATCCTTTGGGGTGGATGGTTGCTCCTGCAAAACTGACCAAAGGTTCGGTGTGAGGTTGTACGAGAGAGTGGGGGATGTCTAACCTGAGGAATGTTGGCCAGTATAGGACACCGGCCGAGCTTCCCTGGTCGACCAGGGTCCTGTGAACTTCCCAATTGGCTAGAGTTACTGTCACGACCATGGGGTCGTCCTGATTTGGACTGATTCCGACATAGTCGTCGTTGGTGAAAGATATGGTGGGCGAGTCTCGGCGCACCGTATGCGTGGGGGGGTGCACGCGGTTGATTTTACGTAGATATTTTTTCCGGGACGAGCTGCTGGCGCCGCCCCCTGCGAAGCCGCCTGCAATTGTGCTTACTAATTGGTTTGGGGGGCTAGGCCCTGCTCCCCGGCCTTCCCGGTCCTGGACTGTCTTGCCGGGGTCGAGTGGTGAGTCGTAGGGACAATCGGGGTATCGCCATTGGGTTTGAGCGCGGGCGATTGCGCTCTTTAGGATTGTCAAGTTGGTTACGCGGGTCGAGTCTCCCGAAGTTGTATGTTCATTGCTCATTTTGCTTAGGTGCTCGTCTGATACGGTTCCTGGTACGGACCGTGCGGGTAGCCGATGAGAGCTCGGTCTGATCAGCCCCACGGTGGGCGCCAAATGTTCTTACCGGAAATCTGCTGTAGAGCTGATCCGCCGGGTAAGATCGGTGAGCCTCCTTTGATGATGTATTGGTGCTCCAAGATGGGGGAAGTACCTGCAAAAGAGACTCCGATGCCAAAGTTAGGGTTTGCACGAATAATAGTCTCATATATATAATACACGTACCTTGAGGTGATTTAGGATTGCTTTGGGCCTTGGGCCTGAAATCCTCGGGTTCCGGTGTGATTAACCCGGTATGACCTTTATTTCGCTAGTCCGGGCTCAGAGCCCGGATGCGGAATGCGGTCAGTACACAAATTAAAATAGATAAAAAGTTGAAACTTTGCTAAAAAAAACATATTATTGAATAAAAATGCTAAAATAAAAACACCCTGCACCATTTTCTAAAATCAAAACCCACTGTAAATAAGTTTTGCCATACAAAGAATGCATGCAGTCGTTCTCCCTCGCTACCACTTGAGCTTTAAAAATGAAAGAAACTAAGAACATCGTTCATAAAGAAGAACAAGAAATTGATGTTAAGTTGATAACCCACTATTCCAACAATCATCGCATATTGTTGGTGGGAGCAAGGAGATTTTTCTTTCTCCCTTTGTCTAGCCAAATCATTTGGTTCTGCTGTCAACATAGTGGCTTCTTCGTTTAACACTCATGGTCTGTCATCTTTATCTTTGAATTGATCTTTTGTCTTCACGTTATGTTTCGATCTTTGTAGGTAAAGAAAATGAAGTTTTTGCTTTAATGCTTAGTGTTATTTCGAGGTTTGATATATGTGAGTGCAGGTTTTTCTTTTGAAATATTATTATTATTTATTTCTTTTTTCTTGTGTGTTTTCAAGATGGTTAAAGATTTGAAGTTATATTTTTATATCTGTCTATGTATCTAATTTGCTGTAGTTTTAATGTCTATGTATCTATGTATCTAATGGTTAGTGTTCTTTTGAGGTTTGATATGAGTGCAGGTTCTTCTTTAGAAATATTATTATTGTTTATTTATTTTTTCTTAAACATTTTGAAGATGGTTAAAGATTTGAAGTTATCTTTCTCTATTTGTATATGTATCTAATTTGTTGTAGTTTTGAATGTGTTTTACTATAAGGGGCACCTTTATGCAAAGTCAAATCTAGATGACTTACTCAAGATGGGAGCATGCTTATTACATGGAGTGGATGCAACCAAAATGAAGCTTCATCCAGATTTGAAAATGCGCAAGTTTGATCCAGTTATTTTTAATTTTCCGCATGCTGGCTTTCAGGGAAGGAAGGTAACACTTCAATGATTAAGTGAGTACATTTCAGTTTAATTTAATTAATGTCTTCAATATTGACATTCTTCATTCTTCATTTTGGTTTGCTGCTCTTGAACTAAAATAGGAAATAAAAGTTTGCCTGATTCAGTTCAGAAACGAGAACATGAATTTCATATATCTTTTATTATGCCACATTAGTTAATAATTTTAAAAGATTTGTTGTTTTTAATATTCAGTTATGTTATTTCTTTATTTATGAATTCCCTTTCAATCTTACATGAGACATTATTTTTGGTGTTTGAATTCACATAAAGCACTTGTGTTGGGATTGAATTTTTCCGTAGGTAATATTTAGTTATCTACGGAATATTTGTAACAGCCCAATTTTCAATGGGCCGTAAGTCCAATTCGCTGCCCAGAACGGGCCGTTTCAAAAGTGAAACGGGCCGTTCTGGAATAAGTTAAAGGCCCAAAATTTGAGAAGCAGAACGGGCCGTTCTGGAGGGAGAACGGGTCGTTCCGATTTGGAGAATGGGTCGTTCCAGAGGGAGAACGGGCCATTCTGCTGGGATTGGGAACGGGCCGGCGTTCTGGTTTTGGAACGGGCCGTTCCAATTCAAAAATTTGCGTAGATTTGAAGGGTTCAGAATGGGCGTTCCACTTTTGGAACGGGCCGTTCCGGTAGCTCGACCTCTATTTGAATTGAGTGAGGTTCGTTCTCGACCTCTATTTGAACAAAGTGAGGTTCGTTCTCGACCTCTATTTGAATGAAGTGGGGTTCGTTCTCGACCTCTATTTGAATGAAGTGAGGTTCGTTCTCGACCTCTATTTGAGTAACCGGGTAATAGCGTCGTAAGGGATTTCAAGTATATAAAAGAAACGAATCATTTTATTTGATGAAAGCCATGTGCCTCGTTAAAAACCCTTCTCAGTTAGTGTGTCTGAGGTAGGAAAAGAGTGCACCGTCTATTTGTACAAAGTTTTACTGAAGTAAAATTTGAGGTAGGTAGCGTTCCAGGTCGTGGAATGGGCTTCCCACTGAGCTCCTCTAGACGGTAGGCTCCGTTTTCCAGGTTTTCTACGACTCGGAATGGGCCGCCCCAAGTGGGTGCGAGCTTCCCGTATGACGTGTCCTTCCGTGCTTCTCCGAGTAGCTGCCATACCAGG